TTAAGATTGAAAATGAAATTTAAATTCATTTTCAAGGACAAATCTTAGTTCCCTTTGAGCTAACAATGTTAGAAATGAAAGCACATTGTCATAAATAGGTATAAATGGTTATGAACAGAGATGATTTACAAACCTCCACATAATGGGCTTTATCATTAGCTGTAACTTACGCATTTCCTTGTGAGAAAATTATTGTAAATGGGATAAGATCCTCCCTTTGCTTTCTGACTCCAGAAGCCATGCCAGAAAGCCACCCCGGTGTCTGCGGTGCTGAGCAGAGAGAAGGCATGTGCAGAAGGAGTTAAGACCCACTTTCCCTGGAGAAGAGGAGCTGTCACAATCCCACTGGGAAAGGGCAGGTCTGGTCACTGACTTGGCCATAATCACAGGTCTAACAAAGCCAGGCTGGGGTGATGCTCCAGTCCTCAGCTCCGTCCACTCCCATCCGTATACTTTGCCTCTCTTTGGTCTGCCAGGTGGGCTCTGTTTCCTGGTATCACTGAGACATTCTGCTCTGTCCCTGTTTCCCAGGTCCTCTGTCTGGCCAACTCCCACCCATCAAGTGACAAGTGACAGCTCTCATGTTGTCTCCTCCCAGGACACCTTTTTTGACTCTGCTCACAGATTAGGTTCCCCCCATTCTGTTTCTCTTCATAGTATCCCAAACCCATTCTTGTTACAGAGCACATTGCACTCCACAGTTCTTTTCTATGGAGGTATCTGTCCTTTATTAGCTGGCAAAGACTTTAAGGGCAGCCTGTCTTCTGTCAACGTGGTTATAGAGCCGAACATAATATATTGGTGTTGATAGTAATGGAGGCGTGACTGGATGACAGAATCAACATAGAAGATATGCTTTAGAAAGAGAGAAAGGAGGGACTCATAAAAACTGGACTGAATAGAGTAAGTAAATATCAATATATAGGAATGGTGTGGAGAGGAGTTTATATTGCAGCTGGACTCTGCACAGAGTATGCTTTTTACAGTAGCTATTAAGAGAAGGAGGGACAAGAATGGTCTGAGCACAGACAATAAGGTGGAAGAAGTTGAAGGGCTAACCACTCAGGCTTTGAGGACTGGGCTGAGGAGTGAAAGCAGCAGTGACAATTTAGATAGCATCTACTACACATCAGGCCCCATGCCAGCTGTTCTGTATCCATTAATTAATGTAATTAATGTCCTAACCCCATGAGGGAGACTTTGTCATCCCCATTTTACAGGTGATAAAATGGTGGCTCCCAATGTTTTTAGATATGTCCTCACATTCTCAGAGTTTGTAAGTGGCAGGCCCTGACCTCCGAGTCAGGTCTGAGCCCCTTGCCAGGCCCCCAGTGCCTCCCTGCCCTGCCTGTTGTCAGGATGAGCTGGCTGCCAGGCACAGGGGTGACAGTTCATGATGCTTGTTGACAGAGAAGAGATGCTTTGCCTCTAGGAATCTGCCTCAGTCAACACAGACCTTGGGTAAATGCAGGTGGACTGTTTGTTCAAAGCGAACATCAACGAGAGGTAGCATGCAATCTGGGACTAAAGAGACCATCCACAAATGTAAATGTGCCAGAAGCAAGGAACTCAGATCAGGCAAATTCCTGGGCAAAATTCTGGGTTCTGTGTCCACATGGTTCAGACACATCATCTCACAACAAATCAAGCGGAAGCATCTGCTGGCCAGACTAGGTAACAACGAGCTGGGTCACCTGGGTGGAGGTACAAGGGGGCGAGTCTCATCAGCTGGAGCAACCAGCAGGCATCTGGACAACCACAGTCACGCTCAGCCTGAGGAAGGGTACTCTCTTTATTTTACAACCTTCGACTCTAACTTCTACCACCCAAGGACCCTATGGGGCACATGTTTAATCATATATCTTCATGACCCCAAAATGGGTCAGCTTGCCCAGACCCACCTTCCTCTGTTCAATGCCATCAGCAGATCACCCATTTTCTTTCCCTCAGACCCCTCCTCAACCGCTAGTCTTGGACTGCAGCCTTCACTCCCCATGGAGCGCTTACTGGGCAAAGTAATTACTTTTCATCGTAAGCATAGCTCCTGAGGGACTCAGAGCAGAAAAATCCTTAGCACTTAGGCATCAGGGATCATGCCATCCAGAACTCCCCTGGCAGATGCAGACTCCTGGCTGGCACCGTGCCCAGCCTGTCCACAGCTCCCTGTCCTAGGACCCAGGGGCCTGGAGTCTACTAACCTCACGGTCTTATTGTAGACGGGGGCCTACAGATCCTAGAACTCACTCCTTCCCCCAGAGAGGGAACTGCCTTCATCCAAAGGATGTCCTGGCCTGTTTAAGGACACAGGTGCTATGAATCCCACACTCAGGCATGTTTGATCATAAGAGTATACCCTCATCCACATTAAAATAATGTCCCTAAATGTCCACACTCCTTGACATCATGAAATGTTGGCACTGAGAGCTACAAGACACTTATGAGAATCCTCCTTGTTCTGCTGATGGACCAGCGGTCACCAACGGTTAATAATTTGCACGTCCCCAATAAACACTTTTGGGCATGCAACCCCAATATATGTATATTTATTTGTAAATCATGTGCACACACCATTCTATTCATATACAATATGCACTAGAAACATGAGACAAGGTCTTTGAAAAGATAAAAAATGAAATAATTCATATTTTAAAATTTAACTATTTTATGTTTTAATGAAATGCACAACCTTTTTGTTCATGTATATCTATGAGAGATTCAAAGTTTTGGCTTTAATTTAGCTTAATTCAATATTAGATTTTAGCGGAGAGCCTGGCTAAGTCAGATGCCTCCCTACACCACATAGATCTAAAAAGAACATCACTGTAGTCTTGTGAATAAGTCATGATTCTCTTACTTTTCTTTCAGCCTCCTTTACCCGCTGCACAGGCGTCTCTCGGGTTCCAGATGAGCCAGGTGGAATGTCTTGCGGGTGACGATCTCATACCACCCCGGCCAATACCTGGAGGCCCAGGTTAGGATGAGTGGGTTATGAACAATTATGGTTAAACCCATCTATCAATCTTTAAAAATAAGTTCAAGTGTCTCAGTCTGCCTATTTTTGGATCTGAGGAACTTGTCCCACATCTCAGCGTGTGCCATCAGCAGGCTTGGACAAGGGCGTGTAAGCGGGGCTCTGCCACTCCCGGTGTTGGCTGTCCTTTCATCAGTAACAGAAGCTTCGATTCAGGATGATCTCCTTACAGCATGTGTTTTTAAGCCAATTGCTTGGCATTGTTAAAACGAGAAAACAGTTGATAGATGGACATAACTGCACTATATTGCAATCTGAGGGTGATTCCGTCAACTTATTTGAGCAGTGGGCCACCTGCTCTGATTTTGACGCCTGAGTTACTGAGTGGAACTCCTGACTGTGAACCATATGGACACGACAAGGCCTCCAGGGTCAGTCTGGATTATAATTATTAATGAAGCTTGTTTTCTCTGTTATTTTGGGTTAAAACATTGGCGTGAATTGAAAGTTTAATATTTTCTTCCCACATTCTGATGGATACGCTGTGCACCCCCAGGGAGAGAGACCCACTTCAAAGACCAACCTTACGTAGCGTATGGGAGGCTGGGAGCGCAGATTTCCGAACCAGCTCTCCGAAACCCTAAGTGGCAGATTAGAAAATCATGCGCTGATTCTCTCTTCCATCAAGAGGTGGTGTCCGTTTCCTGCCCTGAGTCCAGCCTGTTTAGTACTTGCTTCGGCCCGTAGAAGGCAGTGGAAACGACTCCACGCAGGCTGTGAGGCCAGACTACAGGAGGCCTTGCCCGTTTCCGCGGCTGCTCTCAGGACCCCGCTGCGGGTAAAGAGCCAGCTGGCAGCTGGAGGACGGCAGGCCGCAGAGGGGAGAGCCCCGGCCTCTCAGCAGAGAGCCCCCGGCCCCATGCCGCCCAGCGGACATCACCCACCCCATCCAGCTGGGCAGAATCGCCGGGCTGAGCCCAGCTCGAACTGCCTACGCTCAGAATCATGAGCTCAACCCAAAGGTGCTGCTTTCAGCCTCTGAGGTTTAGAGTCATTTGTTACGCAGCAAAAACCAACCAACAGCCATGTGTTGTTCAGCTCTGTTCATATGCGCGCATCACACATCGGTTTCTGAGAACTGGGTTCCCTGGTCTGAGCGTGGGGGCGGGTGGAGTCGCGTGAGGACGAGACTGGCCTGCACTTAGACGCTGTGCTGTCTGCAGCCCAACCACGCCGCTCCTGTTGCTTGCAAGGGCCCTGAGGGCTAAGTCCAGCATGAGGACCTACTGACCTCCGCGTGGAAAACGCCACATTCAGACGATGCCCTCAGAAACTGGCCGCATCTCTATTCAGTTAGGAATTTCAGGACGACGCTGGAATTCTCTGCGTCTGAGGGAGCCAGGCACAGGTTCTATGATGTGAGCTTTGGAAAGATGCCCCGACGAGCACTGAGCATACAAACACTTTTTATCTGAATTGCACAAGCTTCACCTCCAGTGAACTCGCTTTCCTTTAACAGGGACTGACCGGTCTAGTGGAGAGACCAACAGCAAAGAGAGAAGGCAGAAGAAGTGCAGGGGGAGGAGAGAAATTAGCATTTTCTACTCTCTCAATATATGGTTTACTTTTATTTTTATCCTCTCTGGAGGATAATTGTTCCCATTGTTTTTCAGAGAAGGAGAGAGAGAGAGAGGGAGAAACACCGATTGGTTGCCTCCTGCACGCACCCCAACTGGGGCTGGGGATCAAGCCTGCAATTGAGGTGCGTGCCCTTGACCGGGATCGAACCCGAGACCCTTCAGTCTGCAGGCCAACGCTCTAACCACTGACCCAAACTGGCCAGGGCATGGTTTACTTTTAAATGCACTAAAGGTTTGGATTTTCCGCTTGGCAGGAAAAATAATGACAATCCTTTTTTCATTCATCTTAAATGTCCTATAACCTGTCCTCACTCCCTCCACCGCCTCCACCCCTGCCAGGAGCAAGACAGACTCATACACACACAAGCCACAGACAGACACGTACTCACCCCCTGTGAAAGAGGTCCACATTGTGAAACTTATGGAGCTCTACAGAAAACTCAACTGTTCCTTGTACTTCAGACATGATCTTTTCGGTTCATTACCTGAAAAACAAGACAGAAATGAACAGCTTGAGATCACATCAGCCAAACACAGAGAGCCTGAGCTTCCAGAGCAGGAAACCAAGCGGCGCTAGCCTAGGGGTGAGAGCCTGGCGGATGGGACCATGGTGGGTCCCCTGGACGCCATCACCCGGCACTCCTTTTATAGGGAAAGGCAGAAAGGTGAAACAACTTGCTTACTGCCACACGGCTCGCACCTGGGAGGACCAGGGTTCCGACCCAGGTATCCTAATTGTAAAACGGGGCGCCTCTGGGGCCTCTCCCTCTCTGCCAGTACCGCGGAGGCCATGGCATCCTAGCTATGAGCATCTGCTCCATGGCCAGCGGAGCAAACGGAGCCCTTCCACTGTCTCCCTGTGTGACCCTGAGCAAGTCACTTACTTTCTCCCATTCTCAGCTCCTAATGTAACATGAAGACTGCAAACAGCACATAACTCTAACAGGTGATGTGAATACTAAATAAATTTGCTGCATAGAGCACTTTGCACAGCTCCTGACATGCAGTAAATACTCAATAAATGGCATATACCATTAATAGTGATTAATAATAATTGAGAATACATTTTATCACTGTTAGTATAAACACAGTCTAAGGACTTAGGGCCTAGAGAGGCAGCCACAAGTGTGTGGGTGCTGTCCCCAAGCAGATGCTGAACCTGACTCAACAGGGTGCTAATTTTCCACTCCTGGAGGCCATAGGGCCACTAACAACAGGGCTGCTGGGAAAGAAGGGAGGAAACAAAATTAAAGTGGCCCAAGTCTGGGATGAGAAACAAACTGAGAGAAAGACTCAAGACTAAATGCCCAAGGATATGAAATCATCTGGATACCGGGATTTGGAGGAAGGCAAAGAAATTGACTTTTATTGAGCACCTATGAGTGTGGGGAAAATGCGCTGGGAACAGAAGTAAGTGCTCGCATGGCAAGTGGGCAACCACTCACCAGCAGTGGCAGTTATTGTGTTTATTTCTGCCTTCCACAGTGCCGGCAGGGATTCAAAAGGCCCCTCCTGGGTTCCAGATCCAAAGCATTAGGTCTCCACCCTTATTTTGGAGTTTCTGGGGTTCCAAAGGCCTGGATTCCATGTCTATGAATATTGAGGAATTATTTGTACTTTTCATTGCAATATTTCTAAAATGTTTAATCAGTTATTTACATTTTCTAAAGTGTTTTAGAACATTTTCAATTGTCTCAGGAAATTTGTTAAAAATCTTAAGAACAATTTTGGGGAAATTCCACAATCCCAATCCTTCATTAGATACTGTTTGGCACCCAATCCTCTTACAAACATGTTTTCCTTTAAAATGTAGATTTTCTTTTTACAACATCAGTCTTCAAAGTATGTGGCCTTGGAAAGGTGAAATAGAAAGAAGTGCATTGGCCTTCGTATGCATCCATGTTACTTTAGGAAAAGGGCACGCAGATTCCACATGCTCAAGGGGTTACAGATCAAAGAGTGACAGCAGGGTGGGTGGGGAGGTCCAGGAAAGGACCTTCAGAGCAGAAGAGCGAGGACGGGGCGGGCCACAGAGCATCGCTAGCAAGTCCACCTGGCCCAGGGCACCAGCCGCCAGCATGCACTGCCTGCCCCAGGTCTGGGGGAAGCAGCAGAGATCCTCTCAGGGCTCCTGGAGCTGCCTTCTCCCCACTCCAGCCCAGGCCACTGAGTCCAGGTGGTCATTCTAATGAGGCAGGTAACCCCAGTTTTCTGCCTAATTACTGCATGGAGAATCTTCTCTGCGTTCAAGGAAAACGTTCTCATTGCGATGAAAGCTACCATTTCTTCAATAGAGGAGGGAGGGCAGCCCAAGAGCAGGCTTCTCTCTGCTGTGAGAATATCTCATTGGCATTAGGGTCGCCACCCTGGGCTCCCCTCTGGATGAGGCCACGCACAAGCCACACAACAATGCTGAGCCTCAGTGTTTACATCCAGAATATGAGCCCAGGCTGCCTTCTCAGGGCATTTGCTGAGGATCAAACATTGAGCATCTCCTGGAGGTGCTCATGGCTTCAACTCACTGGGATCAAGCCCACAGAGCTTATCAGTGCACCAGAGATACACAGACAACTGAGCCACTGTCCTGGGGCTATAAGAAGACACAGATCAGAAAGAAGAGTCAGGTCACAACTGTGAGCCATGGGGACCAGAGCCACCACAGAAGGATGCACAAAGGCAAGAATGTCCTAGATGCTGAGTCCTCGGATGGAAACTGAAAGAGCTCAAGAAGATGACCCCATGTTCCCCAATAGTCCCCAGCCTATGAATCTCACACCATCTCATTTAAAGTTCTGCACTCATTAAGATGTTTCAAGAGCATTCTGTTTACAGAATGGCAGTCCAACCAGCTCAAGTCACATGAAGACGTCAGCAGGCTGAGCATCGGTGGCTCTTTCTTTAACCCTTTGAGATGATCAGATTATGCAGGTAATAACACCTCATATGCCCACATGTAACGATGCAGTGGGCCCTGCAGTTGCCTCCCCACCCTCATCACACAGATGAGAAATATGAGGCCCAGAGAGGGAAGTGGGCTGCCCCCGTCACAGAGCAATAGCCCTCAGGATCCCATCTCCCCATCTCTGGTCCAGTGACTTTTGCCTTGCCGGTGGTCGAAGCTTTCATACCCATAGTCTCATCTGATCATCAAAGGTGCCCCACCAGGTGATAAGAACAGGAAATGACAGTCACTGATATCTTCACGGTAATGCGATATGGAAGGAAGTGATGTAGCCGGGATTCATAAGGATCTCTAACTCCAGACCTCACAAGAGACTTGGGGATCACACAGTTCAGGCCCTCCACACTGGGGCTGAGGAAGCGGGACATCTATATGGCTTTGGGTGGTCTCAGAGTCACAGAGCCATCTGACAGAAGAGCTCCTACTGGACCTCGGGTATCCTGTCCTTAGACTTTGCACAAATATACCCATGTCTGCTGCAGAGGCAGCCATGCTGATGCATGAGAGCCAGGCGGGTGAGATGCCAGCCTTGCTGGCCACCTTCTCTCACCACGTCAGCCCACCCAGCAGAGCCCTCCAGATGGCCTTGTCCGAGTGCTCCCCTCCTCTACACACATCCACCCGATGGCCCACCTGGCACTTCCCTGGTCCAGTGCAGCTCCCCCAGGAAGCCCTCCCTGAATGGTCCTGCCAGCACCCTCCCTGCACAAGCCCCACCCCTGGGTGCATCCCCAAGCAGCCCTGACCATATTATGTCTTGGAAGCAGGCTAGCCCTGAGTTGAACAACATGGCAAGGAAGCCTATGCAATAACTCTGTGGGGTGGACAAGAGAAAGAATGAAAGAACAAACCACCGCAGGAGAAAGGCGCGTAGGAATGAATGACTCAGTCACTCTCCTATCCCAGCAGATGGAAAGCTGGCTGAGCGCTGGAACCACCCTGCTCAGGCCGGGAGACTGAAATAACTGCGCTGCTCTTACTTCAGTGCCAGCCTGAGCTCCGCTTGCCTTCTGTGCCTGTGGAGGTGAAGGAATGTGGAGGCATCCATCACGCCTGAGGGGACCCCCCGGGGCCCCTGCATCTGGGCCCTGCGGTAACCGATGGCAGCTGCGCCGCAGAGGAGAGCGCCGTTTGTCCTGCCTGCAGCCTGATGTGAACAGGGGAGGAGTGAAATCAAGCCACCCGGCTGCCGCTGAGTGAGTCAGGGCTGGCCTTTCCCATGCGCTATCCGTTGGTGCCACAGCCAGGTGCTTTATGGTGCAATTGAACTGGCATCTGTCATTAGCTTCCCAAGTGTGACAATGACTCAGCCTGCATCTGAGGCCCCACACGGACAACCCAAAAGGTCTCCGAGCGCCCACTGCCTACCTTCTCCCCCAGGTGTGGGCTGCCTACCTCCCAGCACCCTCAGGGCCAGGATAGAAAGCCCAGTGGGGACAAGAGAGGGAGGGCCACACAAGGGCCTGAGGCAATGCTGGAGCCTCGGAGCCAAGAGGAAAGTGAGCATCCATTCCTCTGGGCTCCTCACTGTTCCTCAGTTCTGAGGTCTGCGTGAGGCCTGCGGCCCAGGTCTTCCATGTCCCCCAGTGGCTCTCTCTAAAGACTGCCCCAGAGCTGGTCCTCACCATTCCTCCTGGTCTCAGCTCAAGGTCGTTTCCACAAGCCTTTTACCTCCTCTCAATTCCTGTCCAGTGCATCACCCGCTTTTAGTAATTTTGGACCATAAGCCACCCAAAGGAATTCTTGCTTAATTTCTGTCTCCCTCCTAGATTACCACGAGGAGGGCAGGCTCCCACCTGCACCTGGAGCCATGTCCCAGGGGTTAGCAAATGTTGGGCCCACAGACAAAGCTCCACATATAACTGCTCAATAAACTAAAGGTGACCACCGAGCTGAGTCCTGGGGAAAGTACAGGTTTAGGAGGTGAGGGTTGACATAAGTTACAGGGACAGGAAGGCCGCGGGGAGGGCCATAACTTTTGGAACCACATTAAACTGGATACTTCATCCTTTTGTTTCATTTAATCTTCAAAACCCCAGCTAACAGAACGTCATAGAAATGCCCGAGATTTTGTGGGAGGAAATGATGCTAATGGAGGCAGTGCAGCTCCCTAAGGCCACACAGCTAACAGGTGACCGATGGCCGCAGCAACACAGACTGCGCTGAGTCCCAGCCAGTGAGGGGAGAGGGAGGGCGGACTCCTGGGAAACCGGCCAGGGCTGTGCTGGGGACTTGGGGGTGCAAGGCTCGGAGGGAAGGCCCAGCAGGCAACGGCTGCGCACGCCCTGGCAGGGTTACGGACTGGTGGCCGCCTGCAAGTGTAACGTACAACAAATTTGAAGAAGAAAACTTTGGACTGGCTGGAATATTAATCTTTACAGCATGACAATGAACAACCTATTTGGGGGCATGAATTAATCATGAGTTCACGCTTTTTAATTTTTAAAAACAATCTTCCCTCCAGAAATGTCTCAGCAATGGCTGCCCAGATCATCTCCATGGTC